AAATATATAAGGATATATAAATATATATATATATATAAATATATAAATATATAAGGATGTTGATCTCAACACTGTATAATAGAGATGTATTGAAAACAGCTTTAAAAAAATCATCAATGTGGGCTTCCCTGGTGGCACAGTGGTTGAGAGTCCGCCTGCCGATGCAGGGGACACAGGTTCGTGCCCCGGTCCGGGAAGGTCCCACATGCCGCGGAGCAGCTGAGCCCGTGAGCCATGGCCGCTGAGCCTGCGCGTCCGGAGCCTGTGCTCTGCAATGGGAAAGGCCGCAACAGTGAGAGGCCCGCGTACCGCAAAAAAAAAAAAAAAAAAAAAAAAAATCATCAATGTGCAATAGACAAAACACATTAGGGTATAACCAGAAAAGCACTATTGCTTTTATGAAGCTGTTAAAATGATGATATAGATCTATTTTTATTTATTGTATAGAAAGGTGGTTGTTACGGAAAAAGATCTAAAAAAGCAGTGTGAGTAGTTGGTCCCACTGGCATAATCAAAAAGTCCGTATATATAAAAAGAAGTTTGGAAGGATAAATGCTTAAAGTTTACAGTTAGTTATCACTGGGTGGGTAATTTTTACTTTCTTTTTTGTCCTTTTATGCATTGTCTGATATCAAATTATACTGTGTAAAGAGAAATCTTGATTTGTATTTTAGATGAGGAGTAATGATAGAGTAATAGCAGTCCCAGGAAGAGTAGGTTTGTATTACCAGCACCATTATGCTCTACCTCTTATTCCCCTTTCGGTTGTGTGTGCTGTGAGGGTGCACTAATTGTGTTGCTGTGCCCACAGCCCTGGCACTGAATGTTGTCATGGAATCCAGCATTAGAAAATATAATGGGAATATGTAGGGAGGAAGAATGGGTACAGAACTTGAATCATTTCTCAAGGGGGTTGGGTGATTTAGACCATGATGTCTAAACTAAAAAGTATCTCAAGGTTGAATACTGTGTTATTTAAAATATATGCTGAGTTATCCTTGATGTACCTTGTAAAGCTAAGAAGAATCTAAAGTGCTCATGAGATTAAATGATCAAGTATGTAATTATTTTTTTGTTGTGTGTATATTTGTGTGCTTGCACGTGTATGTGTGTACTCATGTGTACACACACACACTTTTTTTTTTAATGTGTGGCCAATCAGATCTTGAGTGTGGGTGCTTCTCTCCTGATACTTTTTTCTAATTTGGGTTCTTAGAGCCAAATGAGTCAGTTTTTAAGTGAAGACAGAGAGAGGTGGTTTAAAGAAGGGAAAGAACATAGAGGCTTCTTTAGCTTCAGGTTCTTAGGAAAAGGGATTAGGCTTCAGATGCCTCATAGAGTTTTATAAGTAAGTGGAGATACAATGTGATTATAGCCATCTCGGGTTTTTCAATAATAACTCATTGAAAACAAGTTTCCTCATTCGCAAGCGTGGACATACTAATAAAATGTATGATTTAAGAAAAAAACAATAAAAAAGTGTGCCTGACATAATTGGGAGGGAGAGAGAAAGATAAGAGAGTTAGAGTATGAGGGTAATGATGGAGATGAGTTTCAAAGAAATCTACTGTATGCATGAGAGACCTTGGCACACAGCCTGTCTTCTCCTTTGCAATGAATTTTCCTGTTTGTTATACAAAATGTTTTATTCAGTGTAACCTACCAAGTGACAAAGATTAACAGTGATAGAGAAATAGAAAATCCTGTGGGTCTTGTTTTATAAAGCAGAAGGATGGTCTTTATAGGAAGTCCCTTAGAGGACTGGAGACAGCCCTGATATTAACAACTGAATATACTATGACACTCTCCTCATGGCAGATTTCTTTTTATTTATTTATTTATTTATTTATTTATTTATGGCTGTGTTGGGTCTTCGTTGCTGTGCGCGGGCTTTCTCTAGTTGTGGTGAGTGTGGGCTACTCTTTGTTGTGGTGTGCGGGCTTCTCATTGTCGTGGCTTCTCTTGTTGCGGAGCACGGGCTCTAGGCGCTCAGGCTTCAGTAGTTGTGGCATGTGGGCTCAGTAGTTGTGGCTTGTGGGCTCTAGAGTGCAGGCTCAGTAGTTGTGGTACACAGGCTTAGCTGCTCCATGGCATGTGTGATCTTCCCAGGCCGGGGCTTGAACCCGTGTCCCTTGCATTGGCAGGCAGATTCTTAACCACTGCACCACCAGGGAAGCCCTATGGCAGATTTCTTTAAGTGGGCAATTTCATTATTAGATGGTTACCAGCTTTTAAGTCCTATCTGTAAAACTTAAGTGAAGAAAGATGCTTCAGCCAGATCCTAATCTGCATTTCAGTGGGAAAGGCCAGGAAAAAAAAAAAATCCCCATATAGATGGAGCTTCAAATATATGATTATTGCTGTCTGTAACCTTGGTGACAGGAAAGCTTGAGGGGGTCTGAGGTGGTAACATTAGTATAAACAGCTTTTCTATTGAACAAATGTGTGTATATATTCACACTGTGAATTTCATCTCACTGAGTCAGCATATTTATGTAAGGAAAGTTTGGTAGAGAATTTCCTGGAAGCAGCTGGCCTACTTACCTAAATGCAGTGCCCATCTTTTTTCTGGCAGATAAGTAGTAGCTGTAGACTACTGTGTCTGAAAAAAGACTTTTGACAGTAAGTTATGTCAGCATCTGAGGCAGCGAGGCAGCTCCTGGTGGTGACTTCGGCTGCAGCCCTGAGCCCTGTGCTCCCCTCCCCTGGCACCATGCTGTCCTTCCACATGAGGCTGAGCTGTTGCCTCAGTCATTAGAGGGCATTCTCTGTGCCTGTGCCCAGGAGAGAGCAGTGTCCTTGGGTCATGAATGACTGGCCATGTGGACCTGGATCTTTCACCAGGTAAAATCTCCCCTGGTAACGTAGGCTGCCCCGCATACCTGACGACTTGGGCCCTGTGAGACTCTGGGGATGAAAGGCTACAGTCTCTGTCTAGATGTGGCATTTCTGAAACTTCAGTCTGGGGGCCAACTCTATCTGAAGTGCTTGTTACAAATGCAGGTTCTCAGTTCTATACCTATAACTATGATTCAGGATGTCTGGTATAGTACTTCTGATGCATAGTGAGGTTTGGGAACTACTGGCTCAGAATAGCCTCTCATGACATTCCTACTACAAAACAGGTTATCTTGCTGCAGGGACTTTTGATTACTGTTTGTCCTCTTTCAAATTCATTCATCTAAATAGTTACTGAATGCCTGTTCTGTGCCAGATACTGAACTAGGCAGTGGAGTTATAATAGTGAACAAGATTGACATGTTTTTTTATCCTCATGAAATGAAGGGAAAATGAGTAAACAAATTAATAATTATGATAAGAGCTGAGAAGGCCACAACAGGATATTATAAGAGAGTATGCTGGAGGGAGGAGCAGTGAGTATTTAAAATAAAAATATGGTTAGCGGAGGCCTCTCTGAGGAGGCAGCAATTATACTAAGACCTGGATTAAAAGGAATCAGACACACGAGGACCATGCTAGGCTGTATAAAAAATTTGTGCACAGGCATGGAGACCGGATCAGCCTCGTGTTTCAAGAACAGAAAAAAAGGGCAGCGTAGCCAGTGCCCAGCAAGCCAGGGGCAGCGTGGTGTGAGATTAGGCAGGTTGGCCCTGGATTGTGTAGGCTCTGGAGGACAATGGGTGGGCAGAACAGACCGAGAAGGGGTGGAGAATCAGATGTCTAGTGGGACAGGAGTCCGGAGTTGTGAGGAGAGGCCTAGTCTGGGCCATGAATATGAGAGTCACCAGCATTTCAGTGGAGAACCACCTGAATGGGTGATTTAACCTAGGGAGAAGCTGGAGAGAGAGGATGGGGAAGGGCCTGGTGAAGAAGACTTGGGGCAGCCAGGGCCTGGGAGAGGTGGGAGGAACACCAGGAGGCTGTAGGCCTGTGGAAGCCACAGGAGGAAGATGCTCAGAGACGGACAGGCAAGTGTGTTATTGACACTAAAGGTCTAGAACAGTGCAGGCCTGTCCAGTGGCCGCCAGCTTCATGTGGCTATGGAGCCCTTGAAATGTGACGAGTGTGAACTGAAAATGTGTTGTAAGTGTAAAATAAAACATACACCATGCACACCTAAAAAGAATACAATGTTATATATTAATTATATTTCAATTTAAAAAACGCACACCAGGGGCTTCCCTGGTGGTGCAGTGGTTGAGAATCTGCCTGCCAATGCAGGGCACACGGGTTCGATCCCTGGTCTGGGAAGATCCCACATGCCATGGAGCAACTGAGCCCGTGCTCCAGAACTACTGAGTCTGCGCTCTAGAGCCTGTGGTCCGCAACAAGAGAAGCCACTGCAATGAGAAGCCCGTGCACCACAACGAAGAGTAGCCCCCACTCGCTGCAACTGGAGAAAGCCCAAGCGCAGCAATGAAGACCCAACGTAGCCAAAAATAAATAAATAACAAACAAAAAAATGCACACCACATTTCAAAGATGTAGCACAAAAATAAGAATGAATATATTACTTTAATACTTTTTAAAGTAATTATGACGTTGAAATGATAATGTTTGGCATAGATTGGGTTCAACAATATACACTATTAAAATTTCACCTGCTTCTTTTTACTTTTTAAAAATATCACTACTAGGAAGTTTTAAGCCACATGTGTGGCTTTCATCCTGTTTCTCTTACAGAGTTTGGTAAGGTGAGGTCATTTGCAAACTTGGTCAGAGTAGACTGGCTGAGGTTAAGTAATCCCTAGCTGACTGTTTATACGCAGGTGAGACAGAATCATCATCATAATACTATTATGCCTAAAATAACAAAACTCACCACTAAAAAATTCTTCTAGACTTTTTGATACTTATGAAAGTGATTTAATAATTTCACATAAATTGACAATATCATATGCCTTTAAGTTCTTTGAAATGAACTCTCAAATATGGTTTTTCAATCTTTTTTTTAACCTGTATTTTCTCTTTCTTTTTTGTCTTATTTCTTTTTATTTAAACATTTTTTTTGTTGTTTTTATTTTTGCCTATCTGGCCAGGAAACTTCATGGTGTTATGGTCGACTTGCCGCACAACCGTGTTCAAATCTGTCACCAACAGGTTCATTAAAAACCTGGCCTGCTCGGGGATTTGTGCCAGCCTGGTCTGCGTGCCCTTCGACATCATCCTTAGCACCAGTCCTCACTGTTGCTGGTGGATCTACACCATGCTCTTCTGCAAGGTTGTTAAGTTTTTGCACAAAGTCTTCTGCTCTGTGACTATCCTCAGCTTCCCTGCCATTGCCTTGGACAGGTAAGATCAGGTAGCCAGGGGTGCAACTTTTTTTTTTTAAGTGTATTGAAAAATTAACATCACGAAGCAAATAGTGAATAGTCAGTGTTACAAATACTGCTTTTTAGTCTGCTTGTTGTCAACAGAAAGAGAGTCAATTGCTGAAACAGATGCCTCACAGAAGACAGGAGCTCCAGAAAATGGGACAATTGAGAAAAGATGTGGCATTGGGGAGGTTACATCATGACGATGCTGGGGCAGAGCTGGATCATGATATAGTTTCAGCTTGGTTGGAATTAGTGGTACTTGCATTGCAATTTGCAGTAGATTGCTCATCAGATTGCTAACTCTGCAATTAGGGCCTTTTGATGCAGGATGAAAACATTTCTGGAAGAACAAGAGAACAGTTCAGTGGCTATTTAACAAATGATTAGATAGTCCTGTTGGACCTGGCCAGATAGCACCAGAATTCCTTTGGAGGATTTACTTCCAAGGTTTTATATTGTGATGGTGTTTGTTTTCTCTTCTCATCCTTTTTAAAAGGATGTTCATTTGGAAATAAATCTTACATCCTAGCTACTGCTGTCATACATAATTTGATCAAATTTATCAAAGTGAAGTGTGACGTTCTCAGTAATTAACAGGTGCCTGTCTTTTCTCTTTGTTGCTAGCACTTCATGAATATAATTGAGATAATAATACATTTTAGAGAATAGAATTAAAGAAGCAAAGAAGAATTGAAAAGTATTTTGTGTCCACAAGAACTTTTTTTTTTTTTGCGGTACGTGGGCCTCTCACTGTTGTGGCCTCTCCCGTTGTGGAGCACAGGCTCCGGACGCACAGGCTCAGCGGCCATGGCTCACGGGCCCAGCCACTCCGTGGCATGTGGGATCGGAGCACGAACCCATGTCCCCTGCATTGGCAGGCGGACTCTCAACCACTGTGCCACCAGGGAAGCCCCTTCTAATGCTTTTTGTGTTGATCCATTCTGTGTTCACGGCAGGTGTGTCTTTCTGGCGGCCCCTTACTACCTGCTTGGTGGGGTCTTATGTCTGCAGTCCACATGGTGGGCTTTTCTTTCCTGAAGGTTTTTTTTTTTAATAGTTTTATTGAGATATAATTTACATATCATAAAATTCATTTAAAATATACAAGTCAATGAATTTTAGTATATGTACAGTTGTGCAGCCATGACCACAATTGAATTTTAGAATATTTCCATCACCCTAAAAAGAAACCTTATGTTCATTTACAGTTATTCCCCATTCCCACCCCCAGACCTAGGCCACCACTAATCTACTTTCTGTCTCTGTATGGGGGGACATTTCATATAAGTGGAATCATACAATATGTGTTCTTTTGTGCCTGGCTTCTTTTACTCAGCATAATGTTTTCAAGGTTCATCCATGTTATAGCAGGTATCGGTACTTCTTTTTTTCTCTTTCCAGCTTTATTGAGTTATAGTTGACATACAGCACTGTACAAGTTTAAGGTATATGGCATAATGACTTCTCTTACACATATTGTGAAATGATTCACTATAAATTTAGTTGACATCCATCATCTCATATAGATACCAAGAAATGTTTATTTTCCTTGTAATGAGAACTCATGATCTACTCTCTTAACTTACTTCATTCCTTTTTATTGCCGAATAATATTCCTATTGTATGCATATGCCACATTTTGTTTATCCATTTACTAGTTGATGGACATTTGGGTTGTTTCTACTTTTTGACTATTATAAATAATGCTGCTATGAATCCTGAAGGTTTTTTAAGAATAGGATTCAACAAGAGTGGGAACACATTATTCTGGACAGGTTGCTATTCTACCTGGAAGCAATGCAATAATCCCTGTGGGTTATTTTGAGCCTTTGGTTTTAGGCAAGAAAATAGGCAAATAATAAGAAATCCTTATTTTCGTTCCAGCAGAAAATCTACTGTATTTTTGCCATCATTTTTTTTTCAGTGTGCCTTTTATTTTTTTTAATTGAAGTATAATTGATTTACAATGTTTTAGGTATACAGCAAAGTGATTCAGTTATATATATATATGTGTGTGTGTGTGTGTGTGTGTGTGTGTGTGTGTGTGTGTGTGTATTCTTTTTTAGATTCTTTTCCATTATAGATTATTACAAGTTATTGAATATAGTTCCCTGTGCTACACAGTAGGTCCTTGTTGTTTATCTATTTTACATATTGTAGTATATATCTATTAATCCAAAATTCCTAATTTTTTCAAAAGATAAGCAAGTTCTTTTAGTAGAGAAGCAAGTTTGGTAAATTCCTATTTCATTATTCAGAGATGCAGATTACTGGAAAGTATAGGTTTGTTGTGCACGAAGACAAAGGGAAAACAGTTCTTTCTCTCACTTCTTCCCAGATATGTGTTTCGTGGCACCAAGCCAGCAAGTGAATTGGGAGGCCACCTACACTTCCTGCATCATCCTCTAGAGACGCACACACTAACAAAATGATGTATAGTGAGCCTGTGTGCTTGTGCTGCGGTCTGTTTCCCAACCTAGAATGGAATCAAAAATGACGGGAAGCCTGGGTTTGTTACCTGTCACTTAGCAAATGGGAATCAGAGACAGTGGGCATGTATTCATGCGTGGGCGTGGGGCCACCACACTGGATTTACTGAGCGGTGGTTAGAAAAGCTTCTCCGTGTTCAGAGAAAAACAATTGAGAGCGTGCATAACTTATACATTTCTTTCTCTTTTTTTTTCCCTTCCCAGAAAGTGACCTAGAACACATTTTACTGCACTCCATCCATCTCTGGTCATCCGTGGTTGTGTTGTGTTTGCATCGTCTCTCCCCCAGCTTGTCCCCTGCCAGACTCCACCACAGGGCCGCTTGCTCTTGACATTTTCCCAGGTGCTCCCTTTCCCCATCTCCTTTGTGTGTCCCTCCGGTAGAGCCATCATCTGCTTGGTTATAATTGTTTGTTTACATGCCCCCTTTCCCCATTTAGTTAAGAAACATTCCTGTGCGTCCTTCCATCTTTGCAGTCCAATGCCTGGCACAATACCTAGCACATAGGTGGTGCTCAGAAATCCTTGTGACAGAAGGCACGCCTGCTCAGCTGGCCCCATGAGGGAATGCATGTTAATAGGGTTGGAAGGTCGACTCCAGCATTAGCTGACTGCACAGACGTGGGCCGAGCTAAGGTGAAGAAACTCGCCATATCTCTGAGGGCTGCTGGCTGCCCTTTCATGACAGATGTGGTTCTAGAGTCTAACAAATTACTCGGTTTCCCCCAGTCATAGGTGATATTGAAACAAGGTGCTTTTGGAATTCTGATTAGGTGGTTATAGAATAATCAAGTCAAGCTTGAAGGAAAAAAGTCTTCCCTGATTATAACAAAAATCTAATCATGCAGGCCTTTTAAGTCTATTAATTGCTCTTAGGGGTACTGAGCGATTATCATGGGAACAATGACGATTGAGCAGGCATGATTTTTTTCAGTCAAATTGATCTTGTGGAAGGATTTTGTCAGAGACCCTCCCTCACACTGGCTTCTTCTGCCCCAGGTGGCTGTAAATGCTAGTGATATCCATGCATATCCACTGTGGCACGAGTCTCCTTTGGATTTGTGTGCAGACACATTTTCTTTCTCTTAGTGGCTTTGAAAATTGCCCTCAAGCTCCTCTAGCCCAGGTAAAAATTTTTTTTACAAATTACCCTTTACCCTTAAATTGAAAAAGAGGTGTCTTTCCAGCAGAGGGAGATATCCTTTATATTGAGGGCACTCTTTTGGATTTAGTCCTGGTGGCAATAATTATAAAGCTAACTGTGAATTGTACAGCAAAATCCTCAAAACTTAAGGTCTAGCTTCCTAATTTCCCCAGTGGTTTCCTCTGTCTTAGGCAGAATAGAAGAAATTGACCCTTTCTTTCCTCTCTCCTACTTTTAGTAATATAGATCCCCCTAATTAAAGTGTGTCTTCTGTGAAATGAATTTTGCTGTGCGTTTGGCAGGTACTACTCAGTCCTCTATCCGCTGGAGAGAAAAATATCTGATGCAAAGTCCCGAGAACTAGTGATATACATCTGGGCCCATGCCGTGGTGGCCAGCGTCCCTGTGTTTGCAGTGACCAACGTGGCTGACATCTATGCCACGTCCACCTGCACGGAAGTCTGGAGCAACTCATTGGGCCATCTGGTATACGTTCTGGTCTACAACATCACCACGGTCATCGTGCCTGTGGCTGTGGTATTCCTCTTCTTGATACTGATCCGCCGGGCCCTGAGTGCCAGCCAGAAGAAGAAGGTCATCATAGCAGCGCTGCGGGCCCCGCAGAACACCATCTCTATCCCCTATGCCTCCCAGCGGGAGGCCGAGCTGCACGCCACCCTGCTGTCCATGGTGACGGTTTTCATCTTATGCAGCGTGCCCTATGCCACACTGGTCGTCTACCAGACTGTGCTCAACGTCCCCAACACTTCTGTCTTCTTGTTGCTCACAGCCATCTGGCTGCCCAAAGTCTCTCTGCTGGCGAACCCTGTGCTCTTTCTTACTGTGAACAAATCTATCCGCAAGTGCTTGGTAGGGACCTTGGTACAACTGCACCGCCGCTACAGTCGCCGGAATGTGGTGGGCACAGGGAGCGGGGTGGCCGATGCCAGCCTGGAGCCCAGCATGCGCTCGGGCAGCCAGCTCCTGGAGATGTTCCACATTGGGCAGCAGCAGATCTTTAAGCCCACGGATGACGAGGAAGAGAGTGAAGCCAAGTATGCCGGCTCGGCTGACCTCCAGGCCAGAGGGCTACTTCCCACCTGCCTGGAGGCACAGCGTGGGCCGCGGTTTGCTACCCCTGCACCACCCCCGGGCACAGTGGACTCTATATCCCAGGTGGCACCAGCAGTCCCTGTGGAACCTGAGACATTCCCTGACAGGTATTCCCTGCAGTTCGGCTTTGGGCCATTTGAGTTGCCTCCACAGTGGCTCTCGGAGACCCGAAATAGCAAGAAGAGGCTGCTTCCCCCCTTGGGCAACACCCCAGAAGAGCTGATCCAGACAAAGATGCCCAAGGTAGGCAGGGTGGAGCGGAAGATGAGCAGAAACAATAAAGTGAGCATCTTCCCAAAGGTGGATTCCTAGCAAGTCTTGTAAATCCCTGGAAGCAACAGACCTTCCACATCCCTGCCCTCCCTTCACTGGGCCTATGATTTGTCTGATCTCCTCGCAACCCAGTATGGGTTGATTCCTCCTCTATGGGCCAGATGCTTTTGAATGAGAGGGAAATCTATATAAAATCGAATGTCCTCTTTACTGAGAGCGTATATATATATTTATACATATATATATATATATATATATATATATATATTTATTTATTTATTTATCTCAGTGATCCTCAGTAAAGTCCACGTTCCTCTCTGTGGAGACGAAAGCTGGGTAGTGGGAAACGGGTCTTGGGTGGGTTCTCTGTGTGCATTTTCCGGGGATATCTCAGTTCCGGGCCCTGCAGAGAATACATGGAGAGAAGAATGTGTATGAGTTCAAAGGAAGCAGGGGCACTCTAAGTGAAGCCCAAGATAATTATGGAGCTGTGTGGCCACAAGAAAATGCCTATTTGATCCATTTTAAAATGACAAATATTCAAAGTGGTTTATATTGATCTGTATCTTTAGGGAAGATAGAACCTTGGCACTTGATACCTTTTTTCTGGACGGCCTGATCACATGACTCACAGTTTCTCCCGATGCCCTTCATCTCCTTCGCTGGGATGTAGGTGAGGGATGAATGAATATTGCACCCGCATTTGACAGACATGGCAATAGATGTGTCCAGGGATTAGGAAGATATTCTGTCCTTGATTATCCTCACCATCTCCTGGCATCACTAAGGCCTCAGAAAGAGAAGTTCGCAGTGTTGGTTGGAAAACACTGCAAGCTTTTATCATGTCTTTCCCCCTTAAGTTGTGTTTTTTTCAACAAATGAGAGAGAAGCTTAGAAGTGGAGAAGAAAGACTGAGAAATATCCACACTCTGTAGAGTTTTCTCTTCCCACATGGTCTCATGTGAAAGATTTTATGCAGCAATCAGCAGGGGTAAAGTGTATTGAAAAAGGTTTGTGCCAACTTCTGGAATTAAAGGTCATTTAAAAGGGCAAAGTTAGGGTAAACGGGGTCCTTTGGAAACGTCAAGCTAAAAATACTTGATTAGGAAAAGTGAGTCTGCCCAAAAGAGTGGGAAAAGTTGGTTCCCTTCCAAGGAGGACTGCAGACCCCATGCGTCGCCAGTCTCATTTTCAGTCTGTTTGTACGACTGTGGTTCTCCCTTCATTTTGGGCACAAAGGAGGAACAGAACATGGAGAAGGAATTCATCACTGTACAATGCCAAGGCGATACCTAGCCCAGGTGAGCTCTCCACGTACTCCTTGCCAGTGAAGTTGTAGCAGGAGCCAGACAGGACAGAAGAGGGAGGACAGTGTCCTCAATTGACCCGTCGCCTGGGGGCTCTCACAGCAATTCGAGCCTACTTTGGGGTGGGCTTCACCAGGTTGAATTCAAACCACAAAGGAAACTTCACTCTTAAGGAGAGCAAATCAAGCGCCAGGTCTGCTCTTCTCTGGAGGGCGTTTTGTTCTTGTTCATAGTATGGAAGGGAGCCAATCCAGTGCCTTGAGCAAGCTTCAGGGAAGGGGGCATCCTCAGCGGCAAAGAACACATCCCCACGGCAGGGGTCCTCACGGATCTTCTCCTTGAACCACACAGGCCCTTGTCCCTCGTAGGAAGGTCAGACTATGTGTAGGGAGTTTCCTTTTCCTGTCCTTTCCTGGGTGTGCTGTCTTGTGATTCCCGAATGTGAACCCAAAGACCCTTGTCCAGAGGAGGGAGTGCCTTCCTCTTTGTGTTCGTTTCTTTGAAGCATCGTGTGCTCACAGTGGAAACAGGGGCCCGCCACCCCTTCTCCCGGGGCCCCTGTGTGTGCTCTGGAGCCCCTTGCCCTGATGCTTCCCTGTGGCCCTTCAAGCTTATCTTTCAAACCGTCACAGTTGTTACAGTGTTCATCAAGGGGAAACATAACCTGTCGGAAACTTGTGTCCACTTTAGAAGAATCTGTCAAATGTAGCCACGTTGGTGTCATTCTGATAACATATATGTACAACTTAATAAATTCTGGTGAGCCGGAATTTGATAGATGTTACTTATGTATGTTTGAAGCAGTTGGTTGACTTCTAACAGGTCATGGCCAGGTGTATTTCTATATTCTCTGAAGAATTATGTTTTAATAAAAAATTGAAAAGCAGTTTCTGAACTCAAAAAAGGTTGTCTGAGTGATTTTTTGTTTGTGTGTTTGTTTTCTTTTTTTCCCCCTCTCAAGTGGTATACTATCTGACCCTCTCTCTTCCTGTGTGATCTCAAAAGAAAGGTGTTTATTTTCCTCCCAACATGCAGATGCAGCATTCTAGTAGCATTTTCTTATGTTGCTGCAACTTGAAAAATGAATTCCCAAAGAAGAAACTGCAATGTTTGAATAAATGTCCCAAACCTGGGTTCCAAATGGAATTGGTGGATGGTCTGCTCAAACCTGTAGGTGGAGCTACACGGGGAAGAGTGTAGTGCAGCCGTCAGTACCCCTTATGGTTGGGGCCATGGCCTTGAGGTCAGATGGCCCATGTTTGAGTCCTGACTCTACCACTGACCCACCTTGTGACCTTGAGCATGTGAGGTAATCTCCATGTATCTTGGTTTCCTCTGTATAAAATGGGGAGGTAATAAATGTTGCCCTGACTCACATATTTCACCTCTGATTTTAGCCATGTCTGCAGTGGGCCATTGTTGGCTGCATCTGATCACTTCCCTGAGAGCCATCAAGGCCTAGTTTCTCTGCTGTCTGCCCTGGGAGAGCTCCCTAGCTCTGGGGGATAACCCTTGATCAGTGGGACATGGGAACCAGTGGATAAATGCCCCTGTCCTTCTGCTGGACAATTGTGGGAGGCATCTTTCCACTTCTCAGGAAGTCCAGCAAACTGAGTCCCTGTTGCCCACCACGTTGTCCAAATAATGCATCCTTTTATTGACTCTTCTTCCTCCTTCCCTGTCTGGCTTTCTCTACCCTCATTCATGCCCTCAAGGATCACCTTCCCAAAACCAACTGCACAAAGCCCTTGTCTCAAGCTCTGTTTTCAGGGGAATCCAAGTGAGACAATAGTATACCTCATGGGGCAGTTGTGAGGATTAAATGGCATGGTCTGTTTAACACAAAATGTGGCACACAGTGAAACTATATCAATATTTATGCTTACATGCTACATTAAAAAAAAAAGTGGTGGAGGCATTTTTGCAATGTTATTCAGAAAACAATATTAAATTGATGTTTTTACCAGTTACCCCAACAATTATTAGTATTCATAATGATGATACTTTGAGGCAGTACACAGTGCCAAAGTACTGTTTGAATCCCTGAAGAAAAAAATAACTGTGTAAGCTGGAATCGTTCTTCACCAAACAATTCTCAGGTTCAAAAAAAAAAAAAGGGGATGTTGAAAGAATGTTTGACTTTGCTGTAAATCTATAAGCCAGATCCTGAGTAAGAATGAGCATATAGTGGGAAGCAGCTGCATAGCACAGGGAGATCAGCTCGGTGCTTTGTGATCACCTAGAGGGGTGGGATAGGGAGGGTGGGAGGGAGATGCAAGAGGGAGGGGGTATGGGGACATATGTATATGTAGAGCTGATTCACTTTGTTATACAGCAGAAATTAACACAACATTGTAAAGCAATTCTACTCCAATAAAGATGTTAAAAAAAAAAAAAAGCATGAGCATAATATACTGATGCAGAGTAGAGCAGAATATGTAGGTAACTAAGGGCAGACAGACAAACCCAAAGTGGCCTCAGCCATTGAAAAGGAACTATAAGGCAGTCACGTGGTGTGTTAAGCTAATATTGGAGTTCAAGCACAAGTCTGATTGGGCTGGAGAGAAAAGCTGCAGCTCCAGGCCAGCTCTGGGCGTTGCTGTGCTCTTGGCAGCCCTGACCGGGTTGGGTGGCTTACAGCAGCTGCCGCATACCAGATCTGAGATGCTCAGGGAAAAAGAGCTTATTTTAGGCTGAATTTATGTGGAGGGGAAGGATTAGTGCTTTCATATTGTAGTCTACCAATGTAGCAATATATGATGTAAATAAGTTTATAGCAAAGTGATTAACTTCCCCAAATAGTTGTAAACATTTAGCAGGTTTATATCACAACCAATTGCTGCTATATTAGAGTTCTGTAGTTAAAAGAAAAATGAATCATGGTTAATGACCTGAGAGTATGTGAATAAAACAGGTATTGAAATCAATACTAATGCCCAGGGTAGCATCGAAAGCCTTTTTGTGTGAGTGCAAGGCTTTTAAAATAAATTGAAATGATCTAAGATTCTCCATATATGAGGTTTTAGAAGCTAAAATATCTTGCCTGTTAGCCTCAGGTTCAACCAGTGTTTATCCCCATTTGTGCCAAGGAGATAAGTTAGTTAATAGGCAGAATAAAGGCCTGGAGACCTTCATAGAACTCAGACTGTAATCTCCAGCATTGTTTTATGTGAACCTCTGATGGCTATTTATGTCCTGGGGACTTAGGAGCCACTTATTTCCAAACTTAAATGAGTGAATGATAAATGAAAGAGCAAATAAGAGATATGGCATCTGGAGACGTGGCTAAATCTCTATTGAGGACGAGCTGGGGTAAGATTTGCTGTCAGGAGAGTTATTGCTGGTTCTCATCAATCTCCTTGGAATGACTCATACAAGGGTTAAAGGCATCAAATGCAAGGTCTTTGATCTACTTCTCTCTTCAACACCTAAGCCTCTCTGTAATTCACTAGAGGGAGTGTAAGTTCTAAATCTGGAAGGGAAGTTCAATACGGAGAAGCACAGCTCTAGTGTATGTGTTGGGAGTGAACAATAATCCTTTTGCCAGCTGTATTGATCAGAATTTAGTGGTTAAATCGTTTCTGCCCCCTCTTAAATTTCTTTTTATATGCATATTCACTGTAGTCCATATACAAAAGGTAATACAAACACAAAGGAGGTGCTAGAATGACATGTGGTGTACCTTTTAAGACAACAGGTGAGAAAGTACAGCACAGATGGGATAATGCTTTTGAAATATTAACCATATTACCTGATGCATCTAATTTCTCTTCCCTCCTTTTCCTTGCTTGATACATTCACATGTATTGCCTCTGGGAAGGTGTGGGGAAGGCGTTCATTGCCTCAAAGGAAAGCAAATAGACTGTGAGTCTCTTTCCAGTTTTTGTGTATCAAAGCCTAGGTTTTAGGAGAACAGA